ATTGGGTAAGAAGTAGAAGAATAGAAATATGAAGAAGATTTAAAACAGGCTTAAAATTCAAGATGTCTTCAACAAACAGGCTGAGAAACATCCTTCCCAAGCTCAAAGGGGAGCCAGAGAAGTTTCCTCAGATTTCCCTGAGCTGTCCAGCCTGTTTCCTTCCTGTTAGTAAGCCTAGGAACCAAAGCAGCTTGGCAAAGAAGTTGGGTAGAACAGCTTATTGCTGATAAGGATTTGAGGTATGGCAAATACAAAAACTTAAAGCAAGTAACACCCAAACATCAGAACCTGAGTTCAAATCCTCATAAACCTATATAAATGCCAGCTGGGCATGGTGGCCCACCTGCAGTCCCCTCCTCCAAGGACAGACGCCTAGGATTCCCTGGAGTGAACTGAAATGCAAGTCTAGTTTTACTGAGACACCCTGCCTCAAAGGATAAGATGGAAGAGCCAAAGAGGATGATTCCCAGGCCTCCACACATGCATGCACACCCATACACATGCACCAACGCTCATGAACAAAACACATATGCACATATACAACACACACACAAGAACAATGAAAATACAAAAATTTGCTGTCATTTAACAGGCAGTCAGGTAGTCTGCTAAGGGAGACACGGAACCTTCCTCTACATTGCCAGTCCAAAGCCAATGGTACCAGTCTAGAGACATGGCAACACCACAGAGGAACACAGAGAAGTGTTTCTGCTTCCAAGAAACTTTCACTCTGCACAAGGGTGACTCGTTACAGAGGGGACAAAGAATAAAAGTTTAAATAATGCCCTACCCAGGAATCTGTGTTGAAAAGATCCACAAGGTGATCTGGCTCCAGCTTGGTGAACTAGCTCTAAGTCCTGTTGCTAACCAGAGCCAGGCTTCTTACCCACTGCCAGTCTTCCAGTCTTCTATGGTCCAAAGAGCACAAAGTTCTTTTTATCCACCAGGAGGCAGCAAGGGAATTCATAAATCACCTGTAGCTCACCGCTCTTGCGGTACCCTTAATATTTACACAGGTAAACCCCAAGGATCTGGACCCCAAGTATGCCTATATTCAGGTGACCTATGTGACGCCATTCTTTGAAGAAAAGGAGATCGATGACCGGAAGACAGATTTCGAAATGCATCATAACATCAACCGCTTTGTCTTCGAGACACCCTTCACTCTGTCAGGAAAGAAGCACGGTGGAGTTGCCGAGCAGTGCAAGCGGAGGACCGTCTTGACCAGTAAGTGCAGATGAAAACTTCTCCACCTCGGGCCAAGACCGTCTTTTTAGAGGCTAGATTACCTAAGTCAAGTGTGACTGCAGGGGCTGGGGAGACAGCACAGTTAAGGGAAATGCTTGTTGTATAACCTTGAAAACATGCGTTCCAACCTAGAGCCCACCAAAAAAATCCATGCATGCAGGCATGTACTGGTAATCCCAACACTGGGCAGGCAGAGACAGGTGGATCCCTAGGACATTCTGGCCAGTCAGCTTAGCCTGGTCAGGGAGCCCCAAGCCCCCATCTCATCCAAGGCCCTCTCTCAAAAACAAGGAAGACTGCACGTAAGTACATACCTTTGAGGTGACTTCAACCCTGCAGGCAAGTTCCTGAAATGCATTGACCTAGAGCTGTTTGGGGGAGCAGGAGTTTTGCCCCTCTTTATGTTCTGCTAAAAAGGAAACTCCTTAGCCAGCTGTGGTGGTGAGCAACTCTGATTCCAGTAGTGGGGAGGAGCCTAAGTTGAGAGCCAGTCTGGGCTACCTAGTCAGATTCCACCTCAAAATAAGAACAAATTTTTTTTAAAAACTGGGGCCTTGGAGCCTTGGGGGGACACTGTCAATAAAATTAGTGAGTATTCCCTTGGGCGGGGATACTCACAAGTGTCATGATGTCACACCATGGTAAAGACATGGACACCAAATGCTCCTTTCCTCTCCCTGGATCCACCCTTGCCTGTTTCTGAGTTAGCAGCTATTGGCATGATAGGCTTGAGGGTAAAATTCTCCCCAGTGTATGATTGCAGCTCTTCTCTAGGATGAAGGTAGGACTTGAATACCTCGTTTTATGCTCTCTGTATCTGCCCTGTGAACTAGTCACCTCTCCTTTGTTAATAGACACTGTGCTCCCCAGGATCCTGGCAATTCAAATAAATAAAATACGACCAGGCTCTCATGGTGCTAACAGTGGGGTAGAACAAAGACCAAAGTAAAAGAAGAATCTCCCAGGAAGACAACATTTAAAAAAACTAATTTTTTAACGTGGGATATAAATAGATCTAGGATGCTAAAGTCCACAGAGATAAAAGGGTGAAGGCCCTCTGGAGGAAGACACACTACTACCTTGAGAGACCCCAGTTTTGAATTGAACCACCAAGAATCTCCCAGACTTCTAAACTATGACAAGCATTCATTCACCTTCAGGAAGCTGGCCAAGGGGTTTGTGGTGAAACACACCGAGAACCAAGCTCCTGTCTGCTCTTCTCTACAGTGAGAAGCCATTACTGGAGCTCTGTGTGGATTTCATTACGGTGGTGGCAAGTTTCAGTGCTTGCTGCAATCCTTTCAGGGTTTGGTGGCTCTGGCAGTCTTAGCACAGCCCTGAGAAGGTTGGGGTGAGCTTGTGAGGGTGGGAAGGGACTCCAGAAGCAGCTGGAGACAATACAAAATCCTGAAGACCTTCATGGGAACCTGGGACTTTTCTCCGACCCTTTAATAAATCTTTGTGTGGCTTTCGTGCAGCCAGCCACTTGTTCCCCTATGTGAAGAAGCGGATCCAGGTTATCAGCCAATCGAGCACAGAACTGAATCCCATTGAAGTCGCGATTGATGAGATGTCCAAGAAGGTCTCTGAGCTTAATCAGCTGTGCACGACGGATGAGGTGGACATGATCAGACTGCAGCTCAAACTGCAAGGCAGTGTCAGCGTGAAGGTCAGTAAGCATTGCCCAGAGCTAAGTCCAGTAAAACTTGCTATAAAATTCTCCAGGAATTCTTTTTAAGTATATAAGAAACATTCTGGCTGTTTGTGGTCTATCCATACTAGTTACTTTCCCCACCGTTATGAACAAATACCTCCAAATTCCTAAGGTTAAACAACTTAAGGGGTGGGGGTGGCTGTCTCGGTCATAGTTTGTGGGTACAGTCAGTAAGATGGCAGGAACATGAAGTGGTTGGCCACAATATGCCCACAGTCAGGGGAAACAAAAGAATGCTGATATAAAAATCATTTTTATGCAGCCATGGAATATTGTTCCCCACATTTAGGGTGAGTCTCCCCATCCCAGTTCAGCTAATCTTGAAAATCCTTCACAGACATACCCAGAAATCTATCTCTTGGGTGATTCTGAGTTCTTTCAGTTGGCAGCAGTAACTACCTAAGGCTTTTCTTCTCTGCACCTTTAAAATCAGATTAATGTCTGCATGAGTGGAGCAAAGTTCATAAGGCCCCACTTCTAGTTGAAGAGCTAAAGGCAGTCATGAGCTGTGTTTGGTCTTCCAAGCCTCAGTGGTCAGTCCCAAACCCATGTACATATGAACGACACTAATTGGGTTCAGGAGGTTGTTTGTGTGGGGTGAGTGTGCACAAAACAATGATAATACAGAAGAGGTCATTAATTGCAGAGGGGCAGGGGAGACTCTGTAGGTTGGGAGTGGCCGTGATGACAGAGCAGTGTACTTATGTATAAAAAACTCCAAGAATAAAAATTCAAATTTTAAAAATGAAGCAGGAGTAATACTCCCTTGTGTAAAAGCACCACATTTTCTTTATCCAGTCTTTGGTTGAGGGGCATCTAAGTTGTTTTTAGGTTCTGGCTGTTATGAATAACGCTCCTGTGAACATAACTGAGCAAGTGTCTTTGTGGTGCGATTGAGCATCCTTTGGGTAGATGCCTGAGTGGTATAGCTGGATCTTGAGGTACATTGATTCCCAATTTTCTGAGAAAATTCCATATTTATTTCCAAAGTAGCTGTACAAGTTTGCACCCCCATCAGCCGTGGAAGAGTGTTCCCCTTGCTCCACATCCTCTCCAACAAAAGCTTTGTTAGTGTTAATTGAGCTGAGCCATTCTCACTAGTGTGAGATAGAATCTCAGAGTCACTTTTATTTGCATTTCCATGATGGCTAAAGATGTTGAGCAATTCTTTAAGTATCTCTCAGTCATTGGGACCTATTCCTCACACTGGGTTGCCTCACCCAGCCATAATACAAGGGTGGGAGCTTAGTCCTTCTTCAACTTGATAGGCCCTGCTATGTTGACACCCATGGCAGGACTGTCCCTTTCTGAACAGGAACAGGAGGATTGGATTGGGAGGCAAGGGGAGGTGGGGGGAGAAAATGTTAGGAGGGGAGAGAGGGAAAGGGGCGATCAGATGTGGAATAAATAAATCAATTTTAATAATAATAATAGAAGCAGGGGTACTCCCAGGAAGAAAATTCCAGTGGGAAAGGAAGATAAATGAGATGGGGTGGGGTATGTGAAAAAGGCTAAAATTCATTATATAATTGTCTGAAACCACCAGAAAAATCTAAAACATCCATAGAAAAAGCTAAGCTTGGATTAAGGAAAGTTTCTTCTCCCTAACTCTCCCATATCATATACCTTAACAAATGAATTAACCAATGTATAAATATGGCACTCCATACATAACTGTTGTGAAGAAAGTTATTTGTGCTAAAATAAATGTTTTTAAAAAAGAAGAATCTTTAGTGGTTCACAAAATGCGCATTAGTGCTTATGGACTGAGCGCTGTGACAGAAGCAGATGGAGTGAACAGTGGGTGATGGGGAGAATGAAATAAAGTTTGCAGAAGGGTGGGAGCCCTGAAGAAAGCCAAGGGCCTGTATAGCTGCTAGTCACACCCTGCTGAACATATACCCCTAAAACTAAAGATGCTAACATAGGAGGCTTGGTTGAAACAAAGTAAGGGAAGGGACCAGTAGTAAGGGACAGGCATGGCCTCTCTTGGGGTTCTCCAAGGAGGACGCTAGAATTGTATTCCAACCTGTCCCACACCGGGGGGAGGGTGTGGTAAGGCTCTCATCACAGGCACAGAGTTTAATTAGTAATTAACATAAAATAGTATCTTAAAGTGCTATCTATTTTTAAAAGTGAAAATTAATTTGAAAAGCCACAATGAGCAAAGTATTAATGTCTCAAGGCTGGGAAGATGGCTCAGTAAGTAAGGGCATTGTTGTGCAAACTTGAGGACCTGCATTCAAATATCCAGAATAAAAAAAAAAAAACCTTGATGTGACTGTATGCACACCTTTAATCCCAGAGATAGGGGCTAGGGGCTAGGAGATGGAGATTTGGGGTGGGGGTTCTGGAGCTTGCTAATTAGCAGCCTAGATCAGATCCAGATTTAGTGAGAGACCCTTCTGAAGGAAATAAGGCAGAGAATGAGAAAGTGGAGCACCTTATGTCAACTCTGGCCTCTTCCTGTGCACAGAGACACACATTCAAACATGCATGGGGGGAGGGAGAGAAACGGAGACAAAGAGGGACTTCAAAATAGCTCAATTGATAAAGGCACTTGATCTCTGGAATCTACAGAGTTAAAGATAACTGACTCCCACAAATTGTCCTCTGACCTCCATGTATGCATCGTGGAACTTAGGTTAACAGAGGGGAGGGGGGAGAGAAGAAATAAACCTAATAAATATGTCAAAAAGTAGACGTTTAAAATATCTAAAGAGAAAGAAGACAGAAATATAAAGTCTTAAACAAAACCAGACCAGTAGCAATGTCTTTCCCTGCTTTTTGATCTCTTGAATCTGTAACAGAAGAAAAAAAAAAATCACTGCTGCTCACCCTGATATGCTCAAGTCTTGCCTGCCTCTCTTGTCTGTGTCCCTGCTGGCTGACTCAAAAAGACTAAAATAGATACGTGCATACTCAGCTTGCAGTCAAGAGAGGTCAGCAGGCCTGGGCACAAAGCTGGGTGGAGGATGGGCTTGGAGAGCCAGAGGGGATGTAGCACCAATGGCGGTGGCCCCTGCACTGCGGCACCCACCTGATTCCGGTGCAACATCTGCTCCCATCCTGTCACAGTTCCATTTCTGCTGCTGGGTAATAGCCCCGGTTTACAATCCTGCTAATAGTCCCTCATTGTGAAAAGTCAGGGCGGTGGTGTGGACCAGCTAGTCGCATCCCATCTGCAGTCAAGAGCAGAGAGAAGTGAGTCCATACTTGCTCACTTGCACGCTTGCACACTTACTCGACTTGATTTCTCCACCATCACACACGTCGGGGACCCCTGCCTAGAGAATCAAGCTGCCCACTGTAGACTGAGTCTTCCCAAGTGAATTAACTTATGGAAGGCAATTGCTGACAGACACACCCACAGGCCAACCCAATGGAGGCAATCCCTTCATTGAGATTCTTTCCCCGATTATTCTAGACCACGTCTGGCATTGTAGGGCTGTGAGGGTATCTCAGTGGTAGAGTGTGTGTGTGTGTGTGTGTGTGTGTGTGTGTGTGTGTGTGTGCAGGTGCCTTTGTATATCATATGCAAAGTTCCGGACTCAGCCTCCAGAACTGCAAAAAGAAAAAAAAATAACAACAAAACCCAAAAAGCAAACAGCCTGGTTGTGCATTCATTCAGCAACTCTGATGAATGCTTCCTTGGCCCGGACCTTAGCAAGGCTTCCAAGTCGAGTACAGAGGAACACAAATCGCCAGGGCGGTGCACACACCGCACACACCGCCACCTCTGTGGAATGGAATGTCTTTTCATCACAACTATGTGTTTATTTTTGTGCCAATAGAAAAGAAAACCAATGGGCACCTCAAACACTGGATGTCACAAACACTAAATTCAGCTTCAGCGGAAGGGTTTGCGATGAAGGAGTCTCGGTTTCAAAGCTGTTATAGCAAGGGTGCTCACGCAGTATGGGGAGATGGCAAGTAACAAGAGGGGCCGTGATGTGTGCCTCTTCCTGGGGAGGCAACATACAAACATCTGCTCATCCCAGACAGGGAACCAGTGGCAAAGCCAGTGGCGATCTGAGCATAGTCCAGCCTAGTGAACCAGGACCTTTCTTTAGATTGCCTACTGGAGTGTGGCTAAGGAGTTACTTAGAGAAGCTGGGTTGACTCAGACACGGCTGCATCACTGAATGCCCCCAACATGACTGACAGCTCACAAAAGCTGTGTCCCTGGAGCTCTCTGTTCAACTTGCAGACAGCTGCACAGGTTGAAGGGTCTCTTTCTTCCTTGTGCTTATGTATAACCTGGGGGAGGCACCTTGTGGATCTTTTCTAGCACTTTCAAAGGCTTTATTTGCTGACGCTCACAAGCTAGCTGCTCTCTCCCTCTGTGGGTGGGTTAGTTTCAGTTCAGAGGAAGTTGTCACATTATAGGGTGACACGTGACTGATTTGGGCAAGGGGAGCACGGAATACCAGATTCCAGGGTACCTATTAAACAACAGTGACCCCCTCAAACAACAGCAGGTATAGCAAGCATAGAAAGTGGTGGATCACAGTGTGGTGGGAGAATGCCAGCGTACCATGTGGTTGGTCAGAGGACTGGACGTCCCTTATCATGGAGAAGGCTCCAGAGAGAGGAGAAGCCAGCCTCAGCCTAGTCTTTTCTCCCCACAGGTCAATGCTGGGCCAATGGCTTATGCCCGGGCCTTTCTTGAGGAGACGAATGCTAAGAAATACCCTGACAACCAAGTAAAGCTGTTGAAAGAAATATTTAGGTAAGGTTTGCTTTGTTGAAATGTTCTTCTAACTACCTGACACAGAGAGGCACAAAACCCCCAGGAAAGCCGCTCGATTGACCCTCTTCAAGGTGGCAGAGTATCCACAGCCCATCTCTGGACCCAAGTCACTGAACTCAATACCTCTTCCTGTAGTGGGTTTTTAATTTGCCCAATGCTATCATTAAAGGCAATTCGCAGATGCGTGCGGGCAGGCTCTTGATGTAAATGAGCGTCTCATCAAGGAGGACCAGCTGGAGTACCAGGAAGAACTGAGGTCCCATTATAAGGACATGCTCAGTGAACTGTCGGCCATCATGAATGAGCAGGTGAGCATCCCTTGGTGTGACCCACAGTCCCTGGTCATTGCTAGAGGGACTGAAGACTCTTTTTTTTCCCGCAAAAGTCACTATTCCTTTTTTTAATTGATTTTTATTGAGCTCTACATTTTTCTCTGCTCCCCTCCCTCCCTGTCCCCTCCCCTTCAACCCTCTCCTAAGGTCTCCATGCTCCCAATTTACTCAGGAGATCTTGTCTTTTTTCACTTCCCAAAAGTCGCTGTTCTGCACATCAACACTATGATGTTGAGTTGTTCTGTCCCCCGTGTACAAACAGTTCTTATCTCAAAGCACAGAAACACCTACAGAAGAAAGAATAGGAGAACTGAAATGCTCTCCACAATTTCTAGAGGTATTTACCCAAGCCATTAAGTCTGTTGACTCTAGAATATTCAGGTCTATTCAGACCCTGAGAAACACAGGTTTGAATCCCTATTTTGGCCTGCTGCCACTCAGCCATTCCCTTGAGGATGTCACAATACTAGGATATGGGAAGACATTTCACATTTTGCCCGAAGGGGTTACTGTACTGTGCTCAGAGAGAACCTCAGGATTTCTCGTGGACCTTTTTCCTCAAGACTTCCTTGGCAGAAGCAGAGGTTCACAATTAGGAGAAAAGGATATGTATGTATATAGGATATATATGATGATATATATACTTTTGGGAAGTGGAAAAAGACAAGATTTCCTGAGTAAATTGGGAGCATGGGGACCTTAGGAGAGGGTTGAAGGGGAGGGGAGAGGCAGGGAGGGGAGCAGAGAAAAATGTAGAGCTCAATAAAAATATATATATATATATGTCATATATATCATATATATGTGATAATATGATATATATCAAACTCTACTCCATGATCAAGTCATTAATCATCCTGGGTATGTATTCACCACATTCTGCATGACTTGCATGAACTGTGACCATTCAATAACGTCAGTATTTTGGAGTAGCTAAAAGCACTCAGTTGTGAGTCAAATGACCCTCCCTAGCCTGCTTTGCAACATCCATCATCCCTCACACTCTCCTTGGGTACCTCGCCACCTGCTGCCTTCCCAGTAATATGTTACTGCTGGGTTCATATTCGTTCCCTCGACTCCCCCTAATGATCTAGTGTCATTACCACAGGGCATGGCAAAGACTGGAACTGGGATTTTAATTGCTTGTAGCATACAGTCTTTCTTTCCTGGCTTCTTCCACCCGCCCTTTTAGCTCACCACAGTAGCTTAAGGAGAAGAAATGGTAGGCTGGCTTATGACGGAAAGAATGAATCTCCATAGATAGAATTCCCAACAGAGATCATGTTGGTTTGAGATTTCTGACTGGTGATTGTAGTTAAACACTCCAGAGGGGCCTTGAGCATGTAGGACAGGCATTGCTAAATCTGGGATTAAAATGAAGAGAATGCATGTCAAAGCTGGGAACCACGGTGAAGCCATACTTTCCTCTCCCTGTAAATCACGCCTGGCCTTGAAACGTCCGGCAGAAATGTTTCTCTCTCTTTTTTTTTCCGGCAGCTCTGTCGAGGTCCGTGTCTCTACAGCTTCTGCTCCTCTGTGTCTAGCATTTCCCTCAGTACTGTGAGCAAAAGTGGTATGTTCTTCTCGCCGTACGTCTCTCCTGTCCTGCAGCCTTGTGTCCGCCACCCCCCTCCTCACCAGTCCTTCGCCCTGTCAGCTTTTGTGGCTCAGCTTCTCTAAGTCCTCACTGCCACTCTGACACATATCATAATAACAGCTTGGCTTTGAAAGAAAAAAAAAACATGCTCCTTTACCTTCTAAATATATATGAGCTCCTTTGTGTTTCGATATACAGAACTGAAGGATTCTCAGGATACTTGAAAATATAAAACAAAAATACAAAGACCAGTTGGTGAAGAGAAGAGAAAAATATTTTTTTTTGTAAAGGAAACCTGTAACAAAAGAAGTAAACATTGTCTCTCTGCTTCCTGGAAACTGATCGAAGAGTAAAATCTGATGGGTCTCACTGCTCATTAGTCAGTAAAAGAAATAGATCTCTTGGGAGGAAAGGTGACCTTTCTGCTGGCCTTAGCTTACAACGGGGCCTGGTCACACAGGTGACAAGACGAGGGACTATCTTCCTTTGTCCGAGTGCGAACATGTATCCTCCAAAAGCAGGTACACAGATATTAAATGGTGAGAGCACTTAACCAGCTGAGCTTTGAAAATCAGAAACAATGAGAATCAACTGATGTAGAAATAGAAACACAAAATTAATTACACCATATGCACCCCCATAGGGCCAAGAAAAGTCTTAGCAAAAAAAAAAAAGAAAAGAAAAAGAACATGTCATTAAGGGAAAACCCTCAATATAAGAGAAAAAAAGGGCCATGTACATAACACACACCTGTAATCTCAACTGAGAGGAGTAGTTCAGGATCATTATCGGCTCTACATAGTGAGCTTCAGACCAGTGTAAGATATGTGAGCTCTTCCTCAAAAAGAAAATAGGTAGAGACCAGTGAGATGGCTCACTAGGTGAGGTGTCGCCCCCAAGTCTGCCACTGGGGCCCAAATGGTAGAAAGAGAACTGACTTCCATGGCTGCCTTCTGGCTTTCACAGTGCACATACATGTACCCACGCATTTTTCAAAAAGAAAGAGAGGAAACAGAACCCAAGATGGAGTGAAGCTGGCGTGTACAGTGGAGATGTGGGAAACGAGTAATTTGACCTGGTAGTGACAGGCAACCATTTCTTTAATCGGCAGCCAGAATTTCACACTGTTTCATAAACAGCCAAAAAACCAAAACCAGAAAAAACTTTCTTTGGCTGGGGCCAGTAGAATTCACACAGCATGCAAATGAAGAATAAATATAAGATGCTCTTTTGGAGTGGGTTTCCACTGAGCGAGAATGGAGGCAGAGTGATGTCAGCTGTGGTCATGAGTATCCAACTTAAAACACAGCGCTGGGACCAGAGCCATTCTGCTCCGATGCCAAGAAAGCGAGTTGTGAGCGCAATCTTGCTGTTAGAGACTCAGACACACGCTAAATGCATAAAGAACCAAATTATGTGCGCAGAGTCTCATAAAGCTGGCCCTCAGGAGGGTGTGCTGCACACCCGTGGCCCTCCCATACTGAGTGCTCTGTGGCACCAAGCTCCTGGATGAGAGGAGAAGCTAATATCACACACATATAAATCAGCACAGCGGGACAGTGTGTGGGGTTAGTGAAGAAATCACAACTAGAAATTCAAAACACTCATCAAATCTCTTTTGTACAAAGATGAACTTCAAAGGCGACATCTGCAGTTTTTGTGGGGCTGTGGGTTGCTGTCTGCATAGGATCATCGTGATAGAGCTGAACACCGTATTATTTAGATATAGTGATATCATTTTCAGATGGGTCATATTGATTTAATTATACTCCCATTAATGCAAACGTTTGAGTTCTTCCCCTTTAGGGTAAATGTTAGCAATATAAATTACAAATTTTTAAGCTAGAATGAGACGCTGGAATTGCTCAAATACATTTGTAGCCACTTAAACGTTTATAAATTCATATCTGACAGTCAAGGAATATAGTGAAGCTGCTTTCAGCATTCCCATGGCAACCGGCATATGGGCTTTGAAGAAAATATCCCTCAGAACTACTTTGACTAGGGTGGTTTCCAAACTTACTAACACCCCATTGGGAATGAGTCACTGTTCAGGGTTTTGATTCTGTGTTTGAGGATATGAAAATTGATCTCTCTTCATTTTGTATGCATATGTTGTATCTGTCTTGCTTTAAGATTATGGGCAGGGACGACCCAGCAAAGCGCGGAGTGGAGCGACCCTACACGCGTGCAACTAGCAAGGTGACCCCGGCTGTGCCTGTGGTCTCCATCTCACCCAGTGCTGAAGTCTGAGAGGAGCCCTGAGGGATCCGACGCACCTCTCGGAGAACTCTCTGGACTTTTGCAGCTAATCTCGGGGAAGAAAAAAAAAGATAGATTTAATTTATTTGATGTTTTTACAGTGTTAATATTTTTGTTTGCCTCGCTAGCTTGAGAATTTTGTCGGCCTCTGAATTTGCACATTTCCTGGGATCCCTTTGTTTCCTCTGAGTGGTATTGATCAAACCACACTGAACATTTATCCTGCGATTCCAATGAACGTGCAGCTTAAAAGCAAACTGAGTTTGCTCTTGGGTATAATTTGTTCAATCCCAGGTCCTAGCACACATATTTTCAAGGTCAAAGTGAATGTTTTGTAACATTTAAGCATATTTCACATGTAAATAGAAATTTGTAAAATATATGGTTTTTATCGAATTTCAGAAGAATGTTTTTAGTTGATACTTATGAAGGTACTAAAATTATATGAGTAACGTTTCAGATAATGTTATATTAAAATATTTGTGTATGTGTAAAAAAAGTGTTGATAAATACTAATCTTTAAAGTTTGTGAAGTTCCTTTATTTGTAATATATGTGCTTTTAAAGGCAATGGTATGTGAAATTATAAAAGTATTTTGCTGTTGTTAATATAAATAAAATTACAGTTACTTTGCGCTTGATTTCCTTTTGAAGGTTGGGGTGGGAGAGTGCTTGCCTGGCCTGCCCAAGAAACCTGGGTTCAAGCCTCAGCATTGCACAAACCAGATACGGCAGTAACATCTGCTATCCCAACATGCAGGAGGTAAAGATGAGAGGATGGCAAGTTTAAGGTCACCTCCAGCTATTTAACAAGGGAAGGACCAGCATGAGCATGGGAGAAGTGGTCAAGTTACTTCTGGGACTGGTTTATTGGATGACTATCAAACCATCCGAACTCTATTCTTTTAATGCTTTACCAAAAGAGGGACCCAAGCCTCGGCTTGGAGGATCCTCTAAAGATGAATTAGACCCATCGAAGATTTCTAAATATGGGCTATTAGAATGACTCGATGGAAATATGAACCCAAATATTGATGACTGTGGTGGCCATCCACACATCTTCTATTCCTGTACCCCATAAACTTGTGGTAGGGCTGTACTTTGCTGCCTCTTGAGGAGTTAGCACAGACATGTGATTTGCTGTAACCACTGAAAGGGGGAATATGAACCGCTGATCAAAATCAACTTAGTTAGACTCTGAAAATCCAGTGGGCAGTTGTGCCTCACCCTCTCCCTGAGACAGAGCTCTTCAAAGTACGCAAAGAAGGAACCTGAAATCATCTCCCAAGTAAATTGGGAGCATGGGGACCACAGGAGAGGGTTGAAGGGGAGGGGAGAGGCAGAGAGGAGAGCAGAGAAAAAATGTAGAGCTCCATATAAACAAACAAATAAATAAACTTAATTAATCAAAAAGGAAAGAACCTAAAATCATGCCAGGTCTCCAGGGAACCACACAGAGCCAGACATGCACATAGCCCACATAACCTCCTAGTGCATGTAGTGTCGGAGAGAAGCAGTCTTGAGAGTTAAGGTCCCAGAGACTCAGGACAGGTTACAGTTGCAGCGCTATGCTTGCTCTCACCAGTGTGTCTCTCTTAAACTGAATGACCATCAGTGAGGTTTGGTATTGGCTGACACACTTTACTCGGTAGCCTCTTACCTCATGCCCATCCAGCCTCAGCTGCAGTGGAGTCCACGGGCCCGCCTCCCGCTGCAGAAGGCAAGCTAGTGGATAGCAGCATCCAGTCACCTCTGATAACTATTCCAGAGTCTTAGGTTCAAAGAAGGGGATCATAGTTGGGCTCCGTCGGCCTTTGGCTACGCTAGTCTTCTTAGCCAGAGTCAGCACAAGAGAGCAAGGAGAGAAGATAGGCGTTGGAAGAAAGCTTCAGATATCATGAACCCAGGAGAGACAAGATGATATTTTGGGTGAGAACTCTGACTTTTCAGGTCACATCTAAGTTCTCTGTCCTCCCATGCAGCCTACGACTTTAAAACTGCCCAGTGTTGAGCTGAACTCTGGCTCCAAAAGTCACATCCCGCACCATTCTGGCTCCTGTTCGCTTGATGTTTAATTTTCTCCACTTAAACTGTTAAACCGCCTGAGTTATTGCTGCTGAGGAAATCCAGGAAGATTGTATTGTTGATGTGTTCTACCCTTGGCCTTGCCTACGAGGTCCGAGTCCTCCCGCTCTTCCCAACCAGCTACCCACCCTACTCTAAAGAAACTGTTGGCAACAGGTGGCCAGCAGATCTGAGAAGGCGCCCTCCAAGGATTTCCCAGGAAATGGGCACAGTAGATCCTCTCCTCCTAGGCTCATGCCATCCTGTCTTTGCACCACAAATATTAGTATGGCAAAAGGTTTTACTGTGTTTTGCTCCTGACATGGTTTATAAAAGAAATTTAAATACTTGAGAAAGAGTGAAGACCTCTTTTGCAAACAGCATCGAAACAGGCCCCGGACCATCCCAGTCTCCTTACTCCTTCCTTCCTTCATCACTTCATCTACATCAAATATGCAGGAGAGTGATGAAACCCAACATTCGTGTCTTATCTCCACATAATATTTTTTAATTATACATGAACACATCAATGTCAGGCGCATTTACATAGATAGAACTCTAGCTTTCTGGAGTCTGTCAAAAAAATCAGGACATTTGGCAATGCTGGATTCCTATTTCCCTCAAGACATTGAATTTAAAATGAGACAGTTAAGCTTTTCACGTTTGCTTTCTGGCTTGCCTCAGTCATCACCGGGGATTAATCGCCAGTATCAATTAGATCACGCTTATTTATGTCCTAACTGGAACTCATATGTTTAAACAGACTTCATGGCAGACAAATGTTTTGTGTCTGTGTGTCTGTCCAGTTGCAGACAGCACAGCACCTGCTTCCAAGCGAAGCAAGGTGTGTTTATTTTTGATAACGTGCTTCTGAGCCTCATTAAGCCTTCTGAGAGAAGCACGGAAAGGGCTTGAGTACAGTGTTGGATCCACGTGATTCTTACACTCTGCACAGGGATGCACTGAGCTGCCTGCGAATTTGCTACCCCAAAGCCTTGCAGAGGATGATGCACCGTAAAGCAATGACCTGATTCTGAATTACCAAGACACTGAATCTTACTTGTATTCTTGTTCATCTTTATATAAATTAGTCTTAAATCAATTCCTCAAAATAAACTCAGTTTTTAAAAACTAGTAGAAACCCCCAGTTCTGCGGATTAAAAAAAAAAAAAAAACAACCTGAAAATGAGCCCTAGACACCTAGTACAGATTAAGTATATCTTAATGTTAGGCCTGGCTCTGTCTCTTTATTCACATATTAGCTCACCATGTGGCCACTTCTCTTTTATTTCTCACTTCATAGTGAACAATTCCAATAAATAAATTATTTATTAAATAAATAAATTAGCACACTTCTTCAATTTTGATAGCAGTCACCTTAGAAACAAATATCCATTGTCCAAACCTCACAGCGTGCTTCCCTGTTCTGTATTCACACTCACTGAAAAGTCAGTGTCAATGGGATAGCAGGTGTATTTCCTGTGTAATGACTGATGACTCTCTATGGCACATGGTCCTAAAAAGGTAGCGAACATGTCACCAGCAAACTGGCTTTCAGTTCTGCATGAAGATTTCGCCTTATTTTCAGACTGGTGATTCATTATCTCATGTTAGTCAAAGTCCGGAAAGTCAAAAAAAAATATCCTAATGTTCCCATGATCATCAGAAAATAAAAACACCTAAGAGCAAAAGTGATAAAAAGATCCTCAGCCAGAATATTATCCGCTAGGTTTACAAGTGGGTCCTCTGCCTCTGTACTTGCGTCAGTGAAAACCATGTAAGATATGCCACACATACTGATAACAGGATACTTAGTTCAGAACATGATAAAGTACATTTTACAAGATTCGAGTAGTATTCAACAGCATTCAACAAGCCCCTTTCCTTCCTCCTGTTTTCATGTCCTGACCACTTTCCTATGCCTATCCTTTCTAGAGCCTGTTTTCTGAGCTCTTATGGACATCTCATTTCCCCTCCCAACAGAAAGATCCCTCTCCCTTTTCTCCAGCTATTTAAGTCTCTTGCATACACATCAGATCGCTGTTCTGAGTGCTGTATTACCACATCTACAGCCACCCTTCAGCCAGAGGCCCTCGATTCCGTCAGCTGCTGTACGGCTAGCAAAGTCCTCCTACCCGATCTGTGTCCCTCAGCCCAAGGGAGCTTGCTCCCAGGACTGACTGAGAGTGAGAAATAATCATAGCTGCAGTTGGTTCTCATCTGAGTCCTTGCCCAGACAAAGAGAAAGAGAGAGGGAGAATAAGTGAGGACTTTTCAGGGTGGTGTCAACATGTCATTTGTCGGTGGTGAAGTGACAAATTGCAACCAACAGTCCTAGGGATTCACGTGTCCTGTCACACTGTTACAGAGGCGACCAGCATCAGGGACGGTGAGTCTTCATTTGCATTCAAAGTCTGATGATTACCGAGAGCTGTATCTGAAAGTAAGACAAGAAACTTGAAAACATGAGGAAGAGCCAGGCAGTGGTGCACACCTTTAATCCCAGCACTTGGGAAGCAGAGGCAGGCAGATCTCAGTGAGTTCAATGTCAGCCTGGTCTGTGGGGTAAGTTCCAGGACAACCAGGACTTTGTAGAGAAACTGTGTCTCAAATAATAATAATAATAATAATAAAGCAAATAAAGAAGAGGAGAAGAAGAAGATGACAAGGGAAAGCTCATTGCTTATTCTAAGCATTTGACAGTGTGGAAGGGAGCATGAGAACTGGCAATGTTAATATCTAAGACTCCACCCTCTGTACCGACACCCTGGGATTCCCTGTGGGAAAGCAAGAAGATCTATGGTCCTCTGAGAAAACCCTGTCCTTCTCTAGCAGGGAGTTCATCGGCCCAGTGTGTAACATGGCAAGGGTTGATCTTCTTATGAACATGGAAAAAAGCTGTTAAGACTGCTGGACAAAAAAGCAAATTCGAGTTCAGAGCAGAGATGACTAAATGTTCCGAGTGGTGCTGGAAACGTCCGCAAAGAAAGTCTCATGAAAGTGTGTGTTTCTGTTGTGCTTAGATGTTCCTGCAAAAGAACACATGTGAGAGGAGCTGGGTTAGGTAAAGAATAATCTGGTGGAGAGATTATAGTTCATGAGACTCAACAGGCCCTGTCCTGAGTACACAGGGCTGATCTTCCAGTAATAGGAATGAGAAAGATCAAAACATTCTCAAAACTCACTTGGAGAAAGAAACGGTTTAAGCCTGAATGATTGGACAAATTTCAAAACCAAGTTTTAAATAGCACTCATGTAGAGAACTCCCCAGGAAATCTGTTTCCAATCTCACTGCATCGCTTGAACATAGCTTCTCGACTAGATTCCTAATGTATAAAAGATACCGACTTCTGAAACTTAGAGTTTTTCTTGTATTCCATCAGATGCAATACAACGCTAATCACTCAAAGGATGACCAGGCCTTTTGCCTTGTTATGAGTAAGCGGTGGTATTTGCAGGCCATTTGACTGTACCGAATCAGTTTAGCAATATTTATTAAATATGGAGGGTAGGTGATCAATTTTTTGAGAACTAGTGAATAGTAGGAGATTCTGGAGATCTACTTAAATTC